AGAGATTTCCTGAGCCTATTTGACGCCATATTTTAGTAAACAGCATGGCAAGGCACGTGATACCCATAATTCTGTACCATGATCTACAGAAATGGTGCAGCATTTTCTGTCTGTTTGGATCTTTTGACGGGTTTATGTAGTATTTTCATGCAGAGCCAGAAGATGTAGAAACTAGACAATAGCATAAAAACTACGGTACTAAATTTCAATGTTTCAATGAATAACACAGAAGATGCTGGAGTGGGAGTGTGGCACTGTGCCAGCCTGCAAGCTGCAAAGGAACAAGCAGAGGTTAATTCCACGCTGGAAAGTAGAAAGAAGAAACATGTTGCGGCTTGTTTAGCCTCTTTCAGCTGTGAGACGTAGAAGAATGTAAAATGGATTTTATGAGGAGTGGTGTTACAATATACCCATAAACTGAAGTTCTTTTATCCAAACTATGGAGAAAGGGTAAAGGCAACTTCTGGAGCTTTCATCTTATTCCCCAGACAGTACAACATCAATAAAACAACAGGGTCAGGCTAACTTCTCTGGATCTCAGGTCTGAGCAGGGGACAAGTGCAAGAAAACACTGCAAAACAGATTTGCACTGATGCTGGGCAGCACGCCTACAACAGCTCAAGAAATGAAATAAAAAAACAGTTTTGTTTTAAGCAAACCATCAACGAAACATGATACATTTGAAAAAAGGATTGAGCCAGCCTAGACGTCAGTCAACCCAGTACTATTGCACATTTTTAGCATCTGCTAATGCTGTTCGTTTGTCATAATGAGGAAAACACATACAAGCAGGCACAGCAAACTGAAATGAACCTACAGCTACCGAGAGCGACGTGCCCTTTTTCCATTAAAATTAATTGAAATGCACTGTTTAGCCAGCATGTTAACAATTACCCAAAGGAAAAATAAAAAATCCTGAAGACTCAAATGCTAATTGGATTTCCACATTTAACCAATTACTTAGAAAAACTCAAAGCTTGTGAAGCAGTTGTGCAAATCCACTATGTAACATTTCTACATGTTATGCTTAGCTTTAGATTTCATACTGGAAGAGCTGTGTCAGTGGTTTCTGCACCATTAATAAGGAACAGAAAACACTTTCAGCACAACTGTTCTCACTTTCCCACCCCGCCTTCAGCACAGAGTAACCTTCAGCTCACCTCGACAAAGTAAGTTAGCCATGCTGCCATTTGCTATCATTTTCAGTAAAAGGACATGTGATTTTTGGAATGAGATAGTGAAAGTCATTTTATGAACAATCGAAGGAAATAGAAGAAAAACATTTAATGTAGAAGCAGCAACAGCACAGAACAAGATTACTCTCAATTCAAGTGAAACTGTTAGCATCCACAACACTCTTTAAAAATGTTAGCATTTAAACTATGATACACCGAAAAACTAATTTAAACTACAGATGATTAAAATTATGAGCGTAACACCACATTTCTAGTACTATAGTATTTTTTGTTCAAAAAGAAAAATAGAGGCAAGACGTTTACTAGAATGATTCACTTTAAAAAGTCCCCCAATACTGGATATGTGAGCCCTTGCAACATGCTCCCCTATTCTCCACCTCAACTTTAACACAAGTCTGCAGCTCAGGCTTCACCTGGAAAACTGCACAGTCTGGCAAAGTCACAGCCCCATTCACGTAACCTTTTTCCCCTGGATTCCTAGACACTGGAGCTTTTGTCTCTGATGGGCTAGATGCGTATTTGAGCAAGCTGCTGAACGCACCATCAGAAACGAGAACAATTAGATCATTGCTTACTGAGCCTCTGCAGCTCCCTGCATTAGTCAGCAGGAAACACTGGTGGGTTTGGCTGTGCTGCCTTCGGTAAGTTCTCTGTGCTGGGGAGGCAGCCTTTGAAAAACAAAACAAGCTGCATTTACACAAACATCGTCTTGAGACGATGGCAGCATGTGCATCCCACTGCCAGCTTTAACTCGAAAAACCTCTGTCATGTGCCAAGGGCAAATTCACACTGCAGAAATGGTGCAGTGGTGCACCTGAAGTTATTAATACAAATTATAAAAGCATAACTCAGCACAGGACAAGAACAGCGTGTAAGAAATATTATCTATTGTGCACAATATTGCTATGCACTTGTGCAATGATATTAAAATGTCATTTGAATACATCTAAGTAAGGATGGGAGAAATAAGATGCTTGCTGTGCAGATACTTACTTATCCACAAACATATGTTGGGGGGATTTTTTATTTCACAGCCACCCCAGGGGCAGCCTGCTGTTGCATGTGTAACGGAGCCTGTGCGCTGAGACAGTGGCAGAGGCAGTGCGGGAGACTCCGGGCCGGGCTCTTGGCGTGACGGAGCGACCCTCTGTCTCGGGAGCGCCGCCGTGCATGTGTGTGAGCTCGGAGCCCGCGAGCGACCGGGATCGAGTCCCAGCGGGGACAGAGGGAGCTGCACTCATCACGCATGGGGAGAGGACAGATAGACTGGCTCCTTTAACTTGCCCGCCCGTTAAACCAGTACGCTTCTTACAGTGGGGGGGGAGGGGTGGTTGGCACCAACTACAGGAGAGGTGTAGGTTCGACTCTCCTTTTTCACACGGGTTCTCTCTCCACATCTTCTACTACCAAACAGGCTGGTTGGGCCCAACGACCTGCTCTCGTTTCAAAAAGTTCTTCGCCAAAAAGAGCCAAAGGAGAGTGCACCCTGCCTAACTAACCCCTAGTAACCAGTTGTGTGCCGGAGCTCAGGAAATCACTGGAAACAGAGGAACTCCCCCTGTTACACAAGGGTTATGATCTGCACAACCTTAGGTAAGCCAAAATTACACTAAGGCGGAAACTGCTCTTATATAGTACTTCAGCACGCACAAGGGCTATCATTATCCTTATAGTACTGTATTAATCCAATATCATTAAAACACACTACACTGTACCTGAATCATAAAACCGCACTCTTGCAGTGATTTTTCACAGTTGTACAGTGCAGGCACCTAGTAAACCTAACTCTTGAACCCCTGTCATCTACATCACCCTTTGCTTGAGTGGGCACAGAGCTTTAAGATCAAGGGAGCAGCACCGTTAAGCAATATTTTGGTTTGTACCTATAAGAATGACATAATGTGTGCCAGAAATCTCAGGCAGACTTTACATTTAGAACTTGGACTAAATACTGCAAACGAATGTGACATGTCAAATAAAACAAGCTGTCCATTAATACACAGACATTGTACTAACCTGCAGGTGTGGTCATCACTGACTGATGCAATCTGTTTGCCTTCTCTGGGTTCAAAATTCAAGTGGTTGATATAATTAGTATGGCCTTCCATTACCTAGGACATAAAGTTAGAAATAAAATCAAAATAAAAACACAAATCACCATCTAGATAGGAAGTATTTTATTGCAGAGAAGAAAAAGATTTTTCACAAGCATTGCAAAAGAGCAATAGACACAAACAATGTCAGCACTCAGCATACTTTTATCTGCACATCAAACACTGCACTCTGAACAGCAAACCAGTACTTGAACACTCTAAAGAAAGTTGACTTCAAAAGCAAACATACACTTCTATTAAATGTACACTTGTCAAAGGTTAGCTGCTCCGTAAACATTATAGGTATATAACTTCAATTTATTCAAACCAATTTAGGCACAAAAGTTTGACATGAACAGTGTTGAGGTGGTGGCTGAGGCAAGTTCAGTCAAGTTTGAAGGCCCATAACCTCCACTGTTATGAGTGCATGCAGACATGCAACAAAAACAGGACAGGTGCAACAAAAAAAGCAAATGACCACTAAATTTAAAAACAAATAACTTAAGCATTGAAATGAAAGGAAATGCTCACTGTTTTCAATCTGTGCTAAAACTTACCAGGTGCAGAAAACCCTAGCCCCGCATAAGTGGTCAGGAAAATCGCCTGTGCATGTATATTACAGTTCCCCTCGTCATTTCTGCAATTTCTCACTTTACTAAAAGAACTGCATTTAAGGCAGCAATAGTTCATTCAGTATACAATATATAACACACACATATACATAAAAGCACGAGTACAGTAAAGCCTAAGAGGAACAAGATCAACTTTCCGGCCATACTGAACAAGTACCAGTTCTGCACTCGTTTTTAAGAAAATAGCTGCTGGTTTTCAATCCCGTACAAGAGTTACTGCATTGTTTTTCTAGTACTGCGGTGTTTGGCTTAGCTGCTGAATGTCTTATGTCCACTGAGACACAAACAAAAGGGAAAAGGAGACATACACAAGACGAATTTAGTTAAGAGGTTTTTAAGAATTTATTATGTTAGCCCCAGTTTAAGGCTTGACCTTTTTCCCCAACAAGCAGTCCAACTGAACAGGTTTGCTTCCTGCTGCTGAAATTCTCTAGTGGAAATTTAATCTGGTGCACAGCTACTCGCTTCTTGTCTGAATTAAACATTTTTTTCAGATGTTAGATCTGTCAAGAAAGCACAACACCTATTCACCACTCCTCCATAAAACTATTATTCATTTACATTCAGTAAATTTAAAAGGCATGAAGGTTTCAACTTGTGCAAAGGAAAAAAAAACAACAATATCCTCAATGGATCCATTTATCGTATCATACATCAGAAAGGTTACAAATGAGAGGAGCCCGTTCAGCCTATCTAGCCCGCTGGTAGATTGACCTCAGGATCTCATCCACTTGGTCACTCATAGAAAGTGACTCAGCCAGGATGTTACCATCTCACCCCAAAAACAAAGGCAGAGCCATGAAACCTGAACTGGGGGATGTAGCAGATCCTTCACTCAAGGTAGTATGTTCTGGAAGACCGACCTACATAAAACCATGTTTTTTTTTCGTAATACTGCATATGTTGTTAATTGGCTGAGGACAGACCAGCCCTGGTGTTTCAACCTTCCTATCCTCGATTGGCCCTTAACTCTTGCCGTTTAATCTCCCACGTCTAGATCCTTTACTTTTATCTATTGGCGAATCCTGTCTGGCCAGGGACCGATATCGAACCTGTGATTTCACGTGCTGCTGACACGGCAACAGCCGGGAATATTCCCCTCAGTTCAAGATGTATGGACCTACAGTCTTGCAGCATTTTCGTCTGCCTCACCCTAGACAGTACCAATCTACTCCTGAAGCATGAGACCTCTGCGGTTTTTAGTTCCCTTTAATAGAGAGAGATCGGCTTACCTCCAAGTGACACCACTTTCTCTAATAAGCTTGTTTGGATGCTCACTAATTCATTTCAGTTTCTGGAGTGTTTATATACCGCCCCCAGCGGTCTGACCTGAGATCAACAACCCCAGATCCCTCAGCTGTGTGACAGGGAGCATTGGCGCCTGCAAAGATTCTTAAGTCAACTGATGTTTTATGACACAGATCTGTCTGCTGGAACCTGGCACTAAGGCGTTCTTAGAGATTGGGGTTACTGGGGTATACACACAGCTTTCTTTCAATAGTTTAAAAAAATCTAGCTGATGTTCAGAGTCTCTAAACTAGAGAACTGTTATTAATGACGAGGTGCGTTAATGCAGCATCTCAAGGACAGTAGGACGGATGTTTACCCTCAAATCACTTCTCTCCCGAAGATCTGAGGTTAAGAGTCTCAACTTTTTGTCGGCACCTGCAGTACATAGTCTGAAAAACATGAATGAGAAAAGAACATTTAAAAAGTACAAGTCTTTGCAAACCAGGTAACATCAATATGGCCAAAAGGTTTTACGGGATCTAGCGAGTCTTAAAATTACTAGATTCAGTGTGGCGCGCAGCACTAATGCACAGGCATAATACTGATCTCTGTTTAAGACTTTGAAAAGGCCACCTCTTCTGACTGAGGGGCGCTGACATGGTTTATGCTTTATACTTTTTATAACAGCTCAGATATTTCAGTTATTATGGTAATGTGGAATGCTCTTCATAAGACATTAATTTACTTTTTTGTGGAACTTCAAAGATGTTGAATCATAACTTTGAAATCACATATAATGACACCAGACAGCAGACAGGACGGCACAGTGCCACTGTTCCACTGTTCAGGGAGAAACCTCAATAGTGGCTATATTTACACTTTGGGCCCTGCTAAACTGTCATGGCATTAAAGAGCTATACTGCATGGTTAACCGTACAATACTTTTTTTGTCAACCGACACAGGTTTCAGAGAAAAGGATTGGTTTCAAAAACTCAACATGTTGACCCTTTTCCAAAGAAAGGAAGTCTCTCATGGTTTCCCAGACTTGGGGAGAGTTTCACAAAGATCTGCTGTGTGGGTTATGAGGGTATCTCAGAAGAACTGGTGGACCATGATCTCTAGATTGGACAGTGGTACTGGAACTATAAAGTGAAGTCCCCCCCCCACAAGCAATGCAGTTCAAATTTGGCCAGTGCACTAGTTTTGCTTAGATACTAGTGTACAAGTTTCATCTTAAGAAAAGTGCTCACTTTGAACTATGGCCAACTTGGTTAACCTAGTAAACTGCACAGCACTACATTACAAAAAGGAAAGTACATTTCAAAGAACAGGGAGCAGATGTCATAACACTGCCTACATTAAACCTCTTTTTGAGGTAGGTACCCATATATTATTACAAGGAACAAGACAATGGGCTGGTGAAGTTTTAGAACATATTTCTATATTCTGGGCCATGAAAACAGAAACTCTGGCGACATTATCTCAGTTAATGCTTTGGCACTGATGCTGTGCTGTCCTTTCAGGAGCAGCTCAGGTCATTGTTACAGCAGCACACATTTTTAAAGAGCGCGGGTGCTGACTGCAGGCGTTTACAGAGGAGGGCTGCCCTGTATACCTGATCTGCTGTGGGAGGGAGTCCAGCCTAGATTCGGGGCTCCATGCAATGGCCTGCACTGGAACGCCATGCAGGAACATCCGGAGGGCACAGTACTCGACGCCCTCCACCTCCGTGTCTTCCTCCTGTCGCATTGGTGTCACAGAGCAACACAAGGGGAGACAGATGAGTTGAATTTTCTACAACCACACTGGCACTTCATGTCACACACACTTGCACAGAACCTGGACCTGCTCTGGAGTAAAGCTAGCACAACAGTGGTGCATATCGTGTTGTTTTTTTTGTCACTTTGCCAGCAGCTATATCACCCTGCAACCCACAGCTAGCAGCCCATTGAAGCTCAGCAGGTGTGAGCCTGGCCAGTACCTGGATGGGAGGCTTGCTGGGAAAGCTGTGGGTGCTTCTAGAAGAGGTGTTAGCTAGACCAGTAGGGGGCGCTCAGCCTGTGTTCTATGTGGGTCCTAATGACCCAGTATAATGATGCAGACACTATACTGTAAAAAAAAGGAATTGTTATTATGTCACAGACTAAGGCTGACCCCTGCATCAGCATAGCTGGTATTTTAATATAATGTCAAAAAACTGCTTTATGGCACAAAGTTGAGAACATGAGGGAAAGGGGGAGACCCGTTCCGAGAACGAGCACAAATGAACAGCTCGTTGTGGATCAAAGGTGCCCCACTGGAGGGTGGAATTATGAGACGTACTGTTGGGAGAAATCTGGGACTGAGCACCAATAGTAAGAGAGCCCACAGAGCAGTAGAGGCCTGTGGGAGAATCAGCTGAGACAGGGGGAAGCCGGGGACCAAAGAACGCAAACTGTGAAGAAGAAACGTCCCTACTGCTCACTCTGCACCAGTGTAGGAGTAAGGCCAGAAAACAAAAGCCACAAGGAAAGGCTCCTGTTGGTTTGTGCATGTTGTTATGAAACAAATGCTCTGTTTTTACTTTGATCACTTTAACCACAAAATCTGTACACATCACCATTTGTAAAAGCCTTTTGTCGTGCAAAACCGACTTTTATTTGATCATGAAAAGCAGAAAGGTTTAACCATTCCCCATTAAGAACACTAGCTTCTTTTATCACCAGGAGTTCCTGCTGCTTTTGCAGTGTAATTAAAGCAAGGCTTTCCAGACTCCAAATCCAGAAAGTCTCTGCCCAGAATAGTGGACTGGATTGAACCCCCAATTTACCACTTTTCTGTCCTGCAGCTGAATACATCATTGAGAATATAGTGCAAGCTATGCCCAGAAAAGGTGGGGTGATGCAAGCTGATAGATCTTTTGCATGATGTACAATATCAACACTCATCACCAACTTTCAGGAAATCAGCTATCTGAAGGAGCAGAAGTGCTACCCATTTCTCATTCCAAATTTGCAATCACCCAGGAGTACATATTCCAAAGGGTAGTCACGGTTTTGTCTTAATGAGAAAACAGATCACGCTCAAGAATCTGGTGATTCCAAAATGTGCACAATATAGAAAGAGAAAAAAAATTGCGTTTAAGATTAATAACATTTTTTAGAGATTTTTAGCATCATCGTTATGTGTAATCGCGGCGCTGTGACTCGTAGTGTAGTGCGCTGGTCTGCAGTGGGTGAGAAAACGGGCTCAAACCTCCAGAGTAAACTGCTTTATGTGAAGGTCTGGGTTCAAGTCCACGGACTGCAGAGCCTGTTTTTAAGGGGCGGAGTGGTGGCTCTGTGGCTCAGGATCTGTGCCTGTGGCTGGAAGGTTGCCGGTTCGTATCCCGTGGCCGGTAGAGGAATCCTACTCCGTTGGGCCCCTGAGCAAGGCCCTTAACCTCAACTGCTCTGGGGGTGCCGTATAAATGGCTGACCTTGCGCTATTTCAACCATTTCAAAGGATTTCAAATCAAGAACTACAATAAATTGGTAGTGTAAGTATTTACTCCTGAGTCAATACTAAGTGAAAGCACCTTTGGCAGCAATTGACACCGCAAGTCTTTCAAGACTCCACCAATTTTGTACACCATGATGGTGCAGTTTTGCCCACTCTCTGTCTCCCACTCACCTAAGCACTGCCAAGTTTGATGGGGATCATTGTTGGAAATTTCAAAATGTACTACCTGACTGATGGACCTTACAGTGGCAGACGTATTTATTCTGAAACTGCGAGAACCATTATTGCAATGCCCATTCAAGTAACAGCATGACACATGTAGGTTTGCCATAGCCAAGGGAGTAAACAATCATGCAATCAATTTTAGCTTTAGGGTTTTTTTTTTAGCAGTTTTTGCTGGCACCTAAGTCAGAGCCCATTTTCTCCCCAAAATAAATGAAATGAAATTTCTTCAAGAGAACACAAACCTGAAATCTGCATGTTCCCACCACAACGAACTGGTTGCCACCATAAGCTATGAGTGAAGCAGGAGATCCGCTTTCAAAGGGGCTGAACTCCACCACATGGACATAATCCTCACATGGCAAGGCGTAGCTGGGACTTCTTGCCGGCTCCTGCTTCATCTCTCTCACCTACTGCACGGCCAGGCAACTAGAAGGCAAAAAATCATATTTAACACTTCTATTCAACTAAGAATTCAGGTGTCATGCAAATACTACCTAAGACATGTGTTAAGTGAAAATATTTTATCTGCTAATGCATGTCTTACACTCCCAGCTACATATGAACCTTAGGTCACTTATTTGGATTATGGAGCAGTATTTCCTAATCAATGCCACACTATAGTGACTGGGGATACTGCTGTTGAAGGTGCTCTCCTTTGGGTGAGATGTCAAATGTAGGTCCAGACTGCTGTTGAAGGTCAAGGACCCCGCACCCCTGTTTGTAAGAGTAAGAGTTTTTACCCTGGCTTTCCGGCTAAACTCCACTTGAGGCTCAAAGAGTCTGCCCTAAAGCTCCCCCTATTTCAACTGGTCAAAATACTTCTTTTTCCTCCACCTGATCTTGTGCCACCGAAGGGCTGCCTTCTTCACCAAGCCAATCCACCCATCCAGCTCATTTTGTGTTCAGTAGCAAATGGAGGATCAGAGGATCCTTTCCACACGTCTCTTGAGAAAAGCCAGGGCACCAGTTTCGCAGACACTGATGACTGAAAACACAATCGTGCAGGTAAATATAAGATGTGTCGGACAATCATTTAGAGTACAAAGGAACAGGTAAAGGTGTATGACGTGCCGAAAGGCATGGAAAAGAGACATGTTTCAGCTGTGGAGCGTGCTTCAGGTGTGAGGGAGAGAGGGAAACTGGCAGCTGATAAAGCAGGGGAGAACAAAAGACAGAGCAGCTGGGAGCAGGCTGGGAGCTGATGCAGCTACCTACTTGAACGTCTTCAATAATTTATAGATTTTACTCCAGCGATCCAAACAACACGTTTTTTCTGTTTGATTAAGGGCAGAATTGCCCAGCCCTGAAGGCACACAATGAGCACAGCATTCACCCATCTGGCCTAAGGCACTCTCACTGAATTCCCATGCTGCATGCACTGCCCCCTCTGACCAGCAGGGCTCTTGCACGCCAACGTCTGCCCATTTCCAGTCCGGGATACCTGCGAGATGTTTGTTTACCAGGCCGTGTGTTGCCATGGAAACAAAGACTGCCCAGATGACTACTAATTAGAGCAATCAGACAGTTTCCAGGCGTACACAATACCCCTGTCATGAGCCGCTGATGCTTGAGACCACAGAAGGAACCTTTAAATCTATAAAGGCAGAAAACAAGTTCAATTCCTTAGCTACAAGGAAGGAAAAATCACCACTTCGTAAATCATCAGTCTTGCCACAGGACCCTGAAAGCCATGGTTATTAACACTGAGCTCAGTTATACTGATTCAGATACACACCATTTCTTCTGCAATCCATCTTCATTAAGACTGAACAAGCATTGTGTAAATTGTCTATGAAAATCTGATAACTATTTCATGTTATCAATATTACTTAATAGGCTGATCCAACAAGTAAATGAGCAATCCATATCATAAAGTTAAAGTACTCTGTAACCTATTTACCAAACACCCATTCCTAGACTGAGTTGTAGGGTAATACCAGTAATGAAGCTGTTACCTATTTCACCAGTTTTAAATCACGATTACTGAAATATACTTGAATCTGGACTATTTTGAAGGTAATATTGTGAAGTTTCCCAGCAACCCCTAAGTTATTTTATAAAATGAGTCATGTTTTTTTAAAACTAAAGAAGCCAAAAAATCAGCACATCTTTTTCTTTTACGAAGACTTTTGCAGAGATCTACAACACACAAGAATCCAGACTAACAGAGGGGGTTCAAAAACTTTTTTTCTGCCACTGTAGTACGTCTCTCATTAATTCAGAAGCTATGCGAGAAAATGTCAGATTTTACCTAAGAATTAAAAGCAAGATGATTTTAATAAGCAAATGTATGCCTGAACACTGCAAATTAAGTATGCAATAGGAGTCAGACAGAATTGCAGAGTGGTTGTGAAGAGAGAAGCCTCTTTTCTATAGACTTTTACAAGTTATATGATACAGGAGTTTGTTTCGTGGTCCACTTTTTTCTCATCTTTATTTCTTTGAAGCGTCTCCAGGTTGAGATGTGGTCTCTGCAGCCAAGAATTAAGTGAAGACTTTCACACAGGGGGGTATTCTGCACGTCTTTTCCTCTCCCCGATATTCACATGTACAAAAGCAGGCTGCCACAGCTGTAACAGGATCAAAGCTCCATTTACCCAGACCTATCACGTTAGCGTAGGGCGCCACTCTGGTCAGGCACTTATTTTAAGGTACTGCTTTTAAGCAAAAAAGCTTGAAATTGCCTAGATTCTCATTTTTAATCCAATATTCCCCATTCCATAAACCACTAATGCTATCTGAAAGCCTCAGGAAAGAACCACAGGGGACATAGGTCATAAACATTTGAGCCCATAAACAACAGAACATCACCTCAGTCAGGTACAGAAACCTCTTTTCAAAGACTATAAAATCATTTGTAGATCTGAGCATGACTTGAATAAAAAAATTCAAATGACAACTACCAGATGATCTTCAATGCAAATTGTATTTAACACTTTTCATCTGAATTTGTAAGGCACTGTACTTTTACTTGATTATTTCTACATTTTCTGCCGAGAATGCTCTGAAGAACATAAGAATATGGCCTTTCCAACCATTCTGCTCATTTGGTATCTAGGTAAACCTAAAATTTTATCAAGCTTCTTCCCAGCTTGATGGAGGAGACCTGACTTTGAGCCACAACAACCTGACTGTGAAGCCTGTTTCGGATACCCACAATGCTTTGAGTAAAGCGCAGCTTTACAATTTCTCTCCATGGTACAAAACATAAACCTTTCTAATGCACTTATTTTCTGTGGTATAATGCATGCTTTAAATACTGCAATCACAGCAGAATAATTAATCTGGCAAAATCACACAACCACAACACAAATCTGGGAACATGAACACACTTGAATGTGCTTAGATTATTCCTTATGTGACTGCCAGCAACTGACATGACATATTTGCTTAGTTTGTAACATTTACCATGACTTGTCGGTTACAAACACATCTGAGGAATTATGTTCTACTTATCAACCTGCTGGAGTGTGGATTCTGGGATCCATATGACCACCTTGGCAGAGAGATCAACATGCACAGCTGAGCGTAGGGAAATTGGGAAAGGACTTTCTCCCCCTATGGGACCACGACTGTCACACAGGAATTCTATTTTCTGGCACTTCTTGCTTTGTTGGAGTTGAAGAAAAAAAAACTGTGGAAAAGTTAAATGGACTTAAGTGCGTTATGAAAGTTGATCTCTATATAGGAAAAATGTTGGAAGTGGGGATATGCAGAGTGGAATTTTTTATCCTGCTATGATCTGACAACTATTTTTAACTGGATTGTATGTGATGGCTTTCAAAAATACACACAGGGGAACCTGTTAATCATACCGATTATTGATCAAAAAGAAAAATCACGTAAACCATGAGCTAATATTTCTCCCTCTGATGCCAGATTCAGCTGACAGATAACTTTTAGTAAGAAAATAGGAAAGGTTACAAAAGACAAGTTTGGTCCATCTAGGTGTTAAATGTTTAGCCATTTAGGGGTCTGAATGAAAGAAATCTGGTGATTTCTTGAAATAAGTCAGGGTATTGGCTTCAGCAACATGTCTCGGTAGCTCGTTCTACACTCCAACAACTCTTTGTGTAAAGAAGTGCCTCTTGTTCGCATTTCAAGTTGTTTCTGAATAGTACAAGTGCTCCCGCAGACAAGAGAACAAAATTCTAATTTCTCGATGTCTGGTGTCAGATTCCCTTTCTTTTACAGCAGGGGATTCTCCTAAAACAGGGAAAGGGTCAAATGAAAAGTGAGTTACCATGATTCTAGGAGAAGGAACTATAACTTGGATGGCTCCGATCAAGAAACCACAAGAAAGTCTACTTTTTCACGTGACGGAGTGTGAACTACATAAGACGTGCTGAGGAGCCAATGCCTGCATAGCCAAAGCTATCCCAGGGTACCAAGAAACAGTGGAATTTAGACAGAAATCAGCCTGGATCACTGTCTGAGACTCCAGCAACACGGTATGGGGGAGAAACACAGAGGTCCGGGGGTATTGCACTGCAGGGCTCCCCAGTCCTGGTCCTCAAGGGCTGTCAGTGTGCCTGCAGTCCCTAAGACTGAAGAGAGAAGCTGGTAAACTGGTCCAGTTAAGCCAGCAGCGATTTGATTCAGGTCAATATCACCCCAGCTGGACAGAAGACCTACAGTACGGACTCACCAGACCTAGTCAAAGTCCAGACCTAAATGTTGTGTCACGGGCAGTTTATGCTTGAAAACCCACAGATGTCACTGAGTTGAAGCAGTTCACGGGGACTGGAAGGAACTGGTTCTACTGGTTGAAGAGGGGAAAAAAAACTAAGCACGTTTGTAAGGGAGCAATATGTTTCCAGTCTTTACTGCATGCAGCTTACGAAGGGAAACTGGTTGATAAAGACTCGAAACCCGGCGCAGTCAAACTGAACTCCATATGCTCGAAGCCTTAAGAAGAAAATTCGTTGAAACTTCACGGGATGGTTTGACAGCACAGTGAGCAACGTGGTTGCTGCTCAGCCGAAATGTGCTCTGGGTGGAGACAAGAGGACTAAAACAGCGACAGCAGTCAGCAACGCACACAAATGAAGTTGTGCTCGACATGTGCTGCCCGGAGTGATAATACCTGCACCGATACAGAATGTGCTCTGATAAAACCCTGCAATCAACATGCTGGCATGCATCCACCGCCGGGTGTTTTCCTTAATATAAAAGTACAAATCAATTTCATTTCATTTGAACTTATTTCGTATGTTTTTGTTTTCTTAAAAGTCCTCACAATACTAAAAATATATATTGCCCTACACTGAAAATAAGTGAAGTGAAGTCACTCGTTCATATGATTACTTTTTCCACAACAGCTTAACAGCGTACCTACCAGGATATCGGAATGACACGGGTAAGGTCGCTAAATCCAACACGTTGGTGGTATTTCAGTGGTTTTTCGTGTTAAACTCAAGTTGTACCACCAGCTTGCACAACGCAGAAACAGAGAACCCGCGCGAGTCTGTTTTCTGCTTCCAGCAATCTGATTGGCTCCCCAGGATCATATCCGGGTGAAAGGTTGCCCCCTCTCATTGGCCAGTGTCTTGCTGTCAGGAGTTTTAAATTTTTTACATTTTCTGAAACAGCTTCCCTAGGGAGGGCATCACGGTTGTTGACACAGGGACTTGCAGGTACTTAAAAATATGTTAAAGCTGCCTTTAACGTGTATCTTAAGGTTATTTCCCCTTATACTTTAAGTAAGGTTTGAAGCGTTTGATCGTTTTGTTTGATACTGGCTTTGATGTTGCTTTTCTGAAGTTTGAAGTGTGAATGCGTTGTATTTCAAACGCATTTGTGTTGTTGTTGTTAGTAATAATAACAACTTCTATTTATAAAGCGCCTCTCCAAACACGAGGACGCTGAAAACTGAAACACTTGTCTTATAAAATTGCGGGTACACAGACCCCCAATTAAAACTAATCTAGTTGGATTAGGTAGTGCTGGTTAGGCAACTCATAACTGTACGTCTTCGATCAATCAAAGGAGCCATCACCACCAACCACCAACAGAAACATCGCTTTTATATCGCATGTATGTACTTATTGTTCACAAGTATCCCCCCGTTTGGTTTCTAGAAGAAATGGCGATTCTTCAACAAAATCTGAAGGTCCTGGTGAAAGCCTTCAGGAGAGACTGTTACCGGCTGCTCGGGTCCGAGAGGATAACGATATGCAATGCAGACGACATGTTCACGGCTTTGCAGCTGGTCATGGCCGAGGTGAACAAACAGGTGAGGTTTTGCACGACGACGTAGTTCTCTAACCGTGAACATTAGGAGTTTCATTGAGTGCTAATCCACTCTGTGATCAGCTCTGACGTCATGTGCCTGTCCTCACACTGGCAGTCAACCTTCCATTCATAGAGAAAATAAAATGTAGACTAAATTCAAATCCAAATCTTGAATGTCTCCATATGAATCCAAATAAGTATGTTAGTGTTCACCCCTGATGCACCCTACTATACGTATCTGGACAAAAACCTACCAACACCAGGACTGGAGATTTAGGTGCTAAGAGTTTGCCTTCTTTACCCCAGTCATTCAGTGTGCTGTGCTCTTTTCCCGTACTTGTTTTGTGTTTTTGACATCTTTTGTCAGTTTGTTTTTTGGTTTGTGCAGAGGACACCAGGTTGCAGGAAATTTAATCCTCTCCTCTTGAAAAAGTGTGTACGGCACATACTTGTAGTTATGCGCTGCCGAACCTATTAGTTTTAGTCAAGTCCTATTTGTGTTAGAAGACTCACTAGTTACGGTTTTAATTTCTGTGGTCTAAAATAATGTGGCCCTGCTCTTCAGAGGAATCTTTCCCTGGCTAGATGTACAGAGCCCTGTAATATCTGAGGAATGTGTAACTGGATTAGTACCTGCTGGGATTCCATGAGGAGCACATGACTTAACAGCTTTAATAGTTATTTTTATGTCAGCTTGGCTTTCTGTGCGGATGAGGGAACAGCATTGCAACACATTGATGAAAAACATTTGTGTATCCAGGAGGAAATCCCTTTTTTATGTGGACAAGATTTTCATAAGGTTATCATCATTCTGCTATGATGGGGGGGGGGGGACAGATAAATGGGCTTAATTAGTTCTATGCATGAAATGAAAGACATGAACCAGATAATACATTACATGAGATGAACATGAGTACTGGGTTCATATTATTCCCTTCTTGTTTCCATTTAGGAGAAAGGAGAATTTGCTGTTTCACTGAGTGAAGTCATTGTCACCTGGGCTTATTTACTTAAGGATAAACTGAACTTATTCCATGAAGGTTCACATGCTCCAGAGAATTACAACATCATACGGAAAGGCTATGACTCCTTCCTGAAGAGATCGAATACTGTAGACTTGATTGACATCTTTGGGATGGCTGAGCAGTTAAAAATAGAAAGCGATCCAGAAAATCGCCTTGCAGCTGTAAGTACCCCTGTTGGGAATCCTGCTTGCTACATATAAATGAGGAAATCTTCTGCAATGCTTTAGTGCAATGTGACCTCTGAGGCTCCTTTACTTTTTGAGGTGCTGTTTAAGTCATGGCTTATGTAGTGTTAAAACAATCACTCCCTTCATCCCCCAGAATACCTCCTTAACCTCTGTAAAATAAAACTGGTTCAGGGCTGACTTCTCTTCATCTCTAAATGTTTTGGAATTTAGAAATGTCATTTCTAAAAGTCCATTTTCTAAATGTCATTAATAAAAATTACATTCAGATTATGTTGTGAATTGATGGTAGGGTAGCACAGTGCTCAGCATTGGGGAGCTGACTTCAGTTTTTGATCTGGGGTGCTATTTGTGTGGAGTTTGTATGTTCTCTCATTTGCATGGGTTTCCTCCCACAGTCCTGAGATGTACTGGTAGGTTGATTGGCTTGTTGCATTAAGTAGGCATGTCTGTGAGGCCCTACAATAGACTGACGTCCCATCCAAGGTGTATCCTGCCATGCGCCTGTTACTTGCTGGGATGGGCCGTGGCTCCCCTGCGATCCTGAATTTTGACTGGCATCCAGATTTTCAGGTGGGATTGTACTAGGGGAATCTTGGCTGTTGGTGATTATTCTCTCCTTTGAAAAAGGTCCAGCTGTTTGAGTTTCTGTCAGGTAACTCTGAATACTGCGATCAGATTGACCTTGTCCCTCCAGTTCCCTCGACTCCATCCAGCAGGCCCCGATGGACAAGTTCCCAGGTACACTTAGTGCTGTTTTGACTCCAGAAGACAGCCACTCTTCTTTTTCCGTTGTTCGTAATATTTTATTGTGATTATTGTATGTAGATGACACGATAGATAGTTGACATTTTAAATTCAAATCCTGTGGTCATCAGCAACAAACGTGCCTGCTTTTCATAGTGTTTGAATCAATAAAATTGAGATCCAAGCGTAATGTTTTTCTAAGTTTTCAAAAATGATATTGGACACCTGCTATAGGATCCACGCGTCAAGGAATTGGATACATATTAACGATTTGCTCAGCAAGCATCTGATATCGTGGTTCTGTACAATACATGGAGTACTTGTGCCTTAGTCTTATCTGCCTTGTTTGACGTAATAGATTTGAACTTTGGTTAGCCAAAGAACACAGTGTTCTCGACTGTGAAACCGTAAAACTGACAAGAACATAGGTCTTCAGAGGACTTTTTTCCGTCGTGTTCTGCTCTTCCTGTCCAGTGTTTTCAGTGGAAGCTCCCTCAGTAACGAGAAAGTTAAATCCTATTGCCCTGACTGATGAGAGCAAATGGATCTAGTTTAGCAGGATTTATAAAATGACATATGATTACAGCAAGAATATCCGTGTCCGTGGAGTAATTCTTAAGCTCTTATGATCTTAATTAGAAGTTACAAGCAATGGATGGGACAGCCTTTGCTTAAGTTTGTTAGTAGCTTTTGATGTGTGTGTGTTCTGTGTTCTCTGATATGATGGGGGGAGGTATTGGTTGCTTGGTGATTTATGAGTACGTTTTCAGACATCTAGGATGCATTGCAAACAATTTGTGGCTACAGTGTGCTCTTTCATTCTTGATTTTAAAACGAACAATTTTCTAAATGCACTGTGAATATGTAGATGGGCTTATTGAAAGAAATGTGCAGGGTCTTTGAACTGTAAAGTATTGGCTGCTTGGTTAACAGTAGAGGTTGGCAATGAACAATGTTATTTTAGATTGTTTTAAATTGGGTGGGGTGGCCTTCACCAGCTATAGTCTTCAAGGTGCCTTTTTTTATTTGATAACTGGAAAAACATTTTTCCTATCTCTAAGTGTCATTTGAACGGTTTTACTCTCTCTTCGGCCTTATTCCTAAAACAGCTGCTGCGTTATTGTTTTTGAAAACAGATGTTCTATCCGTTTTGTGCAGGCTGAACTTAACGTTTGTTTTGCATTTCTTTCCAATGCAGTTGCTGAAAGTGATGAAGAGGCTAATCTGTGCATACTTAAACTTGCTGCTGAACTCCAAGAACGATCTGGCTGTGGCCCATGTGCTAAACATTCCTGACAGAGGCCTTGGAAGAGCTGCCTTCACCGATCTGAAGCATGCAGCACGCGACAAACAAACGTCTCTTTTCTTGGTAGGAGGCAAAAAGAGGACATTGTCTCTGGCAATAGGCTCGGGTGGGCGTTTACTGGTTACCTGTTCTCTCAAAAATGTGGGTTAACAGAGCAGAATTCAGAGGTTTTGTCAGCAATACCATACCATACCATACATCCTTGCGGTATGGACAGTCTTATAAATGATCTACTGAGATACTGTATGTGAAAATGCTTTAGCCTAATTAATACTTTTTTACTGAATTTGCTTAGCTTTCTATCAAACAGCATTCGGGTCCTCTCTGATTTCAAATGTCCTGCATCTTGGATATGATTTTAATCTCTTTGATCTCAGACAGGTCTTCTTTTGGTCACTTCTTAAAACTAACTAGAAAAGGCAGCTGCATTGAAAGGGGCTGACTCTCTTTTTGCAGACTTCAAATAGTAAGGATTAGTCAAAATTGGAGGAACTTTGCTTTAACTCAGGTTTTATTTTAGGCTGCAACGTCCTTCGTCAGAGCCATACAGCTGGGTGGAAAAGGCTATGCTCCTTCAGAAACTGACCCACTGAGAAAACACTTAAAAGGCCTCTCAAGCTTTGTGCATTTCATGGATAATCTCGAAGAGCTGCTTGGAGAAATTCCTGACCCTTGGTGAGTGTTCATGGTCTCTTCCGCATGTATGTCCTTACATGCTTGCCATTTGCGAGTTCTGTCTCAACCATCCGTTTTCAACTCCAAAAATGGAGCATTTGTGATTCGTCAATCCTAATTCAACATCCATTGCAAATCGATCAAGGTGTTCCGTTGTGAAGGTTTTAAATTCCTTTTTTTTAATCAGATCAAGTGCTATTTTTGAAGATTTAATGGCGTGGCAGGGTTTTCAAGGTCAAGCTTCACTTTACTGTCACTCTACACTCGTACAACGTACAAGAGTGCACAATACACCTGAACAATCAGAATAACGTCACAGAAGAACACACATGGGGGAGAGGCGAGTGGCAGACAATTAGCAGCAGTTGAGACAGTATAGGTATATTAATAAGAATAAAATAATGTAATGAGGAGATAAATGAATCCATGGGTATTTACAGTAGTAATGTGCAAATAAGCATTTTGAAATACAGGGGTGGTGTGGGGGGGGAGCAGGAGACAAGTGTAACACAACACATAGACGTAACACAACAGTGCAAACATGACAGGCGTGCAGTCAGTGAGACGGTAGTGATAGTACAGCAGTGGGTGGGTGGTCAGTCCATGTGCCGTCTGGAATTCAGTAATCTGACAGTCTGCGGAGGAAAAGCTGTTCCTGAGCCTGGTGGTGCTGGCTCGCGGGCTGAGCTACCGTCTTCCGGAAGGCAGGGGTGTAAAGGGGCTGTGAAAAGGGTGAGAGGGGTCTTTGGTGATGGTGCACGCTCTCCTGGCACACCGCGTGTTGTAAGTGCACTGGACTGAGCTGTCCTCACCACACGCTGCAGAGCTGCCCGGTCAGTTCCCATACCATACCAGAAGGTGATGCAGCATGTCAGGACGGTCTCGATGGCGCACCTACTGTATAGAAGCTGTTGAGGATGGGGGGTGGAAGTCCAGCTCTTTTCAGTCTCCTCAAGAAGTGGAGGTGCTGTTGTGCCTTTTTAACTAAGTGAAATGTATTGTTGGTCCAAGAGAGGTCTCCGGTGATGTGCACTCCTAGAAACCTGAAGCGGTGCACTAACTCCGCCGGTGAACCATCGATGCACAGGGGAGTGTGGACGGCCCGAGTCCTCCTGAGGTCAACGGTCATCTCCTTGGTCTTGTTGACACTGAGAGACAGATTGTTGGCCTTACACCAGGCTGCAAGCCACTCCACTTCATCCCTGTAGGCTGATTCATCACCGTTAGTGATGAGGCCCACAACTGTGGTGTCATCAGCATACTTGATGATATGATTACTGCTGTATTAGGGAATACCATCGTTTTCATCAAATGATAATGCTCCTGCACTGGCTAGTGAAAACTACCTCTTGGCACTAGCCTTCCATTTCCTTATTTCTTACAGCATGTATATCATTCTGGTCTCTTTCTCCTTTTGATCTCTTCCTTGCACTGGGACTCTGATGTTTGGTAGGTGTCTGAGGCTAAATGAGAGGCACCAAGCAGCAGCTGCCGGTCTGGAAACAGATCGGACCACTTAGATTGGCACAGGCTTATAGGTGATGCCCTGGTTTCGTCTCGGATTGCACCCTGCCCTGCTGTGGCATGTGCTATTTTGTGCCATGTTGATGGTAGCATGGAAGTGGCACGGCTCTGTACCTCTTTGTATTCCCCGTGGCAAAAGGGTTTTATTTTAATTCCGTGTGGCTCTGTGTGATGAATGGGAAACTGCAGTCACAGTTTGTCAGTGATCTAGAAACAGTCCTTGTTCTTGGAGACTGTTGGGTGCAACATCTCTGCGATACCGCCATCATCATCATCATCATCATCATCATCATTGTGATGATGGGCCGGGCAGGAGTGTCCTGTCGCTGCGGTGCTCGACTTGTGGTGACTGATGGCTGCCTGAGTGCGCTGAGATAGCCCTGGAACCTCACTGCCCAGCTTTCCAGTCGACTCATAGTCACGCGACAGCAGCTAGGACGACAGATGACAGGTTTGTGTCGGAGCGCTCTTGCAAGATCAGCGCCCAGTGGTCATGCCAGGCACGCCTTTGTGGCATGAGCTGTGGGGTCTAGGGCTGTGATACCAGTGAACTGGCACTGTGCAAGAAATGTGGCTGAATCCCAGAAGACTGCACCTACAACCTGGTGCAAAGCACGTGTTCCAGCTTGTATTGCGTCCACACACACCGCTAGCCTGTGGCCTTCGTGGGAGACTCCTCTTCCTGAATTTATCAGCCGAATGAGCTCGCGTTTCATGTCAGTTCTACGAGATGTCGGTGCGCTTACGGTCCTACAAAAGATCAGGAAAAATATTTCCTTGGTGACTTTGTGAAATGTTGCAGTTATAAGCGATGCGTTTCTTGTAATGCTCAGTATACCATTTATAGGTCCTCTCCTTCGTGAGTGAGTACCTTAAAACAAATATAAAAGAGAAGAGTGCAATTTTGCTTTTTTTCTTTGTAATTCTGATGGGGGGGGGGGATATAAATAACTGAGTCTTGCATCTACATGAGGACAGTGAATGTACAAAGCATAGTTTCATTTTCAGTGTACTTTGTATATATTGGCTGTATTGCAATTCAGAAAGGCTGAAGGGATTACACTGGTGTCTGGATGCACAGCCTACAGAAACATATAGCAAGGGTTGCGTGCGAAATAAGGTATGATGTAATGGGATGAGAGCTCTGGACCTCCCTTGTGCTTGGCCTGTTGGTGCCTCTCAATCCAAGGAGCCTTCCAGACTCTACTATCCCTGTGCTCAGCTGCCTTACCCTTCAGTTCAAGTGGAAGTATGGGAGGGCCCAGTTTCATGAGCATGTTAGAACCTGAAGTTATTGGCGCATCTTGTTCTAAAATAGAGAAACCGCACAAGATCAACTTCAAAAGTCATGACGTCGTGTTTGTGGTGGTTTGGTTCTGTACCATTTAAGTCAGGACAGCTGAAAGCTATGAAATATTTAGGTTGTCCTATTGGAGAATCCTGTATCATCTGCTGGTAGCAGAGTTTGGTAAAAAAGGATAAATGAATTGCAGATAGACTATAAATCTATCACTATAAATCTCTTTAAAACAGACAACAGGGAGGGGGGTGGTGTTGAAAATATAATACATTTAAAATGTGAATTTTCAGCTTGGTTGAACCCACCTAGAGGAAACTAATGCTTATGGGATAACTTCTTTTTAGTGAGACTGAAGCAGAGAGATTGAATCCACCCCATCAAGACTGATAGTGCTCTTGTTTAGTAGTTTCTTCGTGTTTCTAAAGATGGTTTGATTCCATTTTTGAAAAAAAATAATAATTTCCAGAGGCATGTTTAGCTTAAACGGTTTCTCTTGAAGCTGTAAACAGGACGTTTGTTTGAGGAACTGATACTTCAAGTCTTTTTTTTTTATTCATGGGTTAAAAATAAATACAAATGACCTTATATGCAGTCCACTTTGCCTTTGAGTACTGAAGTGTACCCTTGTAATAAACTGTTTATGATCAGTCTTCATACCATTTGCTTCCACTCCATAATAGCTATAGAATTACATTTGCCTTAAACATGCTGCCTTGAAAAGTCTTTCTCTGGATATTGGACAAACTAGGGAAAGTGCTGACCTTAATATAATAACAGAATACTGACGTATTCTTCCTGTTCTTGGAATGTGAGCTGGGTCTGTTTTATATTTTAGCAGTCTTTTGAATTTAATCCATGACCGTGGCTTTTTTCTTCCTAATTCTTAGTGGAAAAAAAGATATGTGTGTGTGTGTGTGGGGTGGGAGTTTCAGTAAGAAGGCTGCACACTCTGTACATTAACGCTGGGACTGTCATTTATTGCAGGAGGCTGAGATCTGACAGTTGACAACAGTCAAGTCAAGTCTAGACGGGGAGAGGTTATTAATGATAGGAAGTGGAGCCAGCATGTATGGAATTATCTTTAAACAGAACCTGTTTTTTTTTAAACTGAATTCATCATTAACTATAAAAAAGTAAGTCAAATGATTGCTGTACTGATTAGCTCTGACTGCTGCCCTATAGCCATTGAATATGTCAGGTGTTTATTTAGCCCCCTATGATGCGGTTTTGCGGATACTAATTAGTCCTAGATTTGTTTAAATTAATATTAGGATGTCCAGGATTAGTGATAAGTAAGGTCTGGGGATAATGTTTCTGGGATAAGTCTTTTACCCAAAACAAAATATTGAAGACGGGCTGCCTCGTTTAAATCTGAGACAAAAAAGTCCAGCAGATTGGAGCTTGTTTTAGTATTTTGAACAAACAGTAGTTTACAGTCATTTTAAAACATTTACCTCTTCTCAGAAACAGAAGCTTCACCAAAATTCTGCGCTCGGAATTAGAATTAACTGTGCTCACGATTTTTTTAGAGCTCTTGCAGTATGAATGTGTGGAACAAGATACCTGTAATTGAAATTATGGAAACTTCTATGGCCAAAGAAAATCAATGTTTTCTCTGTCAATTCTTAGAAATGATTTTTTTTTAGTTTTTCAGAGAAGTAGAATGGCAAAATGTGTGGAATAATTATTGTATAATTCTGAACTAGTGTCTTGCGTTTTCTTTTGTCAAGTTGTAACACTTCCAGTAGAAGACCTGGGTTCAAGTCAGTGCATCACAAAGGCCTTCTCTGGCTAGCCTGTCATTAATGTGATTGCATCACAACGCAAAAATGCCGCCCTTGGAAATGTGTAATTAGAGTCTGGTCTGGCTGCTTTTATATACATTCATCTCCCTTTTTTTTAAACAAAATGCCTATTTTGAAAAAAATGTATTTCTTAAATATAATTTTCAAAGAATGTTCTTTTAAAGATGTTTCTTTTAAACATGTAAACAAGATAATTTTAGCATAACCAAAATATGCTGTTACTGGGGGGGTGTTCAAGCTCGCAGAGCTCTTTCTAAAGCCCGAAGACCACTTCACATTGATTGCATTAAAAAAAGACCGTGAAACTTGCAAATGTAAGTTGATTTTTTTTTTTTTAACATTGAGGCTTCGTGTTATGCTAACATCTGTTTTCCCTGGTGGTAGTGGTATTTTTTTCTATCATTCTAATATAGTACAAGCCAAGAGCTGGTCACCATCCTCACTTAGTTTTTAACTCTTTCACCGAACAGGCTTTGTCTAAGTTGTAAAAAATGAGCCACGACTTCTTAGAATTATTGTTTCTGTCTGTGGGAAGTACAGCATCCTAGTGTCCCAGGTGTGTTTCTGAACAGCTATGCCAGAATTACAAATGAATCCATTTTCAATCTAATTTTTAACAGCTTTTAAAATGATTTTTAGCTCTACCACCAAGCAGGGCTTCTTTGTAAGATTCTGTCTGGTATTATTCTTTACATTGGTGCTTTTATCCAAGGTAGTTTGATGCATTGTACAGTACACATTTACACTGTTGATACAGCTTTTTACTGAAGCAGCCTGAGAGAAGTACTTGACTCAGGCATACAACATCAGAGACTCACTAGAGTACTGAATCTGCAGTCTTCCAGCTCTGAGTCCATAGCCCGGGATGAGAGGTGTTATTTCATGGTGTGTTGGTCTATACTGTCCATTTATTGTGCCCAATGGGAATCGTTTTTCTTTGGCATCATCTGTGTTCTGTTTTAGGTATGATTCACTTTATGCTGTTATAGCTATGTAGGTTTTCAGGTCTAGAAATGGGTATGCCATTTATTAACCAAGGTGTAGTAAGTACGATTTGCCGGAGTTAATGAATGTTCAGTAACCTTAGAGGAATTGATGACGGGAGTATGATAACAGAACAATTCAATTTTCGTTAATTAGGTTTAGTTAATGATCATGATTCAAATGCTGGGTCCCTGTAATTGTAGGCGTGGCTAAGGTGCCTTTTCAAATGCAATGTGCTCTGTGTTTGTGTTTGGCGGTATGCAGTCCACTTGGATGCATCAATGTCATTGAGTTTACAAAGGGCAGATCGTTTAGACACATTCCTCTTTTTTTGGCACCTTCCCAGCTTCTAGTAGCCTTAACTGATGGCTTGAAGCTTCTGTAGAGACTTGCATTTGTGAGAATTTTGCCTTCCTGAAGCATTTGTCTTGTGTGGTATTGGCCTCTAGTTCATCTCCTTTCAGTTGAATGCATATCTTTTATATCGTAGGTTGTATTGTAGTGTTTCTGGGAGCATTGGCACCTACTTTTATAGATAAGTTGTTTGAGGGGAACACAAACTGGTTTCATCCCACGGTGGTCATTCTGCACCAGCTGACACAAAGCACAGCAGATTGGAAGGGGGGCAAAAAATGACTAAGAATTGAATGGGAGCTTTAGGGCGGTCAGATTGTACAAACCAGGGCTGGAGGATAGCCAGGAAACCAAGATTACCACCCTTAATCTTACAAAACCGTGTCTTGGGATCTTTAATGAGCAAGTCGATGGGCCCTTGGCTTAACATCTCATCTGAAGGACAGAATCTCTTACAGCCCAGTTACCATACCTCAGCAGTGGTCTGGAAGTTCTGGTCCAGTGGTAAGAGGACCACTTTCACCTTTTGCAGCAGATATCTGCAGTCCTCAGATAGCAAGCTGTTTAGTTGTCCTCGGAGGTCTCCCGTCCCAGAACTGACCAGGCTCAGCCTGGTTTACGTCCTCAGATCTAATGAGCATGGGGTTCGGGTTAGTGAGCCTGCTGTGTATTTGCTTGTTACGTTCATTATGTCTCACCTACCTGCTCTTTGATTTCAAAGTCCAAGCGTGTTCACTGCTCTGCGCTGCAAAAGGAACTCGTGAGCAATTAAAAATGTAAGGTATGGTAGTTGAAATGGTTCCATTTCTTTCCATTCTTTACTTAAGTAGCTTAAACAGGATGCCCAAGCAGTGGAGCAGTGTAATTCCTCTGTGTGTCAAGGAATACTTCTTGTACCAGAGGGGATTTTGGAGGCAGTGTCCATTGCTGACATCCGATCCATCATTCAGATCATAGTCCAGCCGTGCCCAGGGCTGCACCAAAGAGGCGTCCGTCCTGCTCCGTTACATGTTAGCCAGTTATTTTGCACCATAGCCAATGTGGTGGACATGGATCAGTGATGCACGCCTCCAGTCCCAGAGCTGTCGCACTGTCTGTGGAGTCTTGTTCTTTAAAACGTGCGCACTAGGAATGACTGCGCTATTCATCAGTGAAACTGAACGGATTTAACTCTTAAAAGAATTTCAGCTGTGGATTTAAAGAGACCTAAAAACCAGTGGGATGCTGGCCCTCTAAGGCTTAATTGTTAACATTTTGTTTTGGACAGTTGAGAGTGCCCTTTAGTACATTTTCTCCCCTCATCTGAGGAATCATGCATCAAAAACAATTGATTTCGCCCCACCTTTTTTTTACCAGCCCATTGCCTTTTAATTGTGAGAGCTCCTGTGGCCTTCAGTAACTTATGAGGTTTTGGCAGTGCCCGCGACATTAGCACATTTTCACTTTTCTGATTTCCTTTAAGGTTTAGAAAAGTAGGCTAATGGATTAAAGCTGAGAGAAGCTTATCCATACTAAGTGTTTCTGAGGCTAGCATCTTACTGCCAAGTATTTCAAGGCAGCATTTGCATGAATCGGTTCACTTATCGTTAAAAAGGCTGCCTAACATTTGTCACTGCATTTCCATTACTCGCAAATATACAGTATGTGCCTTTAATTATTTTGTCTTTAATTTCCGTTTCCCACACTCCTCATATGAATGGGGCTGGAAGACCATGGTGGAGTTCAGAGGTCCGGGTGCGAGTTGTGGAAGAATTCGTAGAGGATAATTCCACTCTGAGGCAGGGAGGGGGAGTGATGTTTTGGCTGTGGAGCCGCCTTCAGGTATGAGGGAAAAAAAAGCTACAGACGGACCTGGAGAAGGACCCACAGCCAAGATGTTTTCCTCCTCTTTCCAGCTTGGAACTGAAATTCCTTTTATCCCTAGGATCACACAGCACTATCTCTCTCTCTGGCTTAAGGCAGCAATGTGCCGCAGAGGGAAACCTCCGCAGAAGAGTGGAACGAATCCCAGTAAAGGGCCTGATAAAGGAGGCTTAAGGCTGTGAAGGGCAGCACTTAGTGGAGCAGAGACTTCCAGCTCTCCATGTACCTGGCGACTCCCTGCCCAGCAGCTTTTAGAGCTGCTGTAACTTTTAAATCCTGAATCCCTGAAGACCGTTACTATTTTTTTTATCTCATGGGTTAATGTTTAATCTATACATCCGTTGGTATAAAAATCTGAAGACTCTTGAGCCCTCGGAGTGCAAAGTTTGTTTGCTTGAGCAAATTGCTTGCTTAATTGTTGAATAATGTAAAAGGATTCCCCCTCTTTCTAAAAAAAAAAAAAAAAAAAAGATGTTTCGGGGTGTCACTGGTGTCCAGGACCAGTCCTGGAAAGCCTGAGCTGTAGAGGGTTCATGTGGGAAGCAGTGATAGGTGAAGTGACCTTTTTAAAGCAAAGGGATCGACTGAAGGGATGCTGAAACTGGGCTTTCATGCTGCAGCTTGGTTTCCCCTGTTAATACAACTCACAGACACGGGACACAGACAGCTTCAGCAAGTGCTCGAGGGTGACCTACTGTATGCTGGTTAATTGAGAGTCTTAAAGTAGTTTCATTGCTTCCCAAAACAAAACATCTGGCTTCACCACATTCTGTCAGCTGAAGTGTGTCTTGAGCAAAGCCGCGACATCAAAGCCGCGCCGCCGTGGCCCTCCGGCTGGCGCGGGGAAGCTCTGTGAATGGCGCGCATTGTTCTGCGGGAGCGCAGAGGGGCGACGCTGCCAAGAGCTGCTTTTCTCCAGCCTGGCAGGGGGTCGGATCCTGTCCGCCATCGAGGCCGGCCTGCTGAGAGGCGGGAGCAGCGGGGACCTGGTGGGCCGAGCGGCGCGGGAGGCCCTGCAGGAGCTCCAGCGGCGGATCGGCGCCGGCCCGCGGGGGGAGGCCACCGACGCAGGCGCCGCGGGCATCAGCCCAGCACGGGTACGGGCCTCGTTCACGCCAGGCCGAGATCCTCTATTCAGCCTGCACGGCGCAGGCTGGAGGAGACATCCTTCTCTCACTGCACCTGTTAACGTTCCTTCATCTCCTTTTTAAAAGCCTGCTGCTTCAATATACTGTTTCTCATTGCCAGCCCAAGAATACAGCTCTATTACACCACGTACTGGAGCAAGGGGTGATTGTATTGGGCATGATATCTGTAACATTTTACTTCAATATGTTTTGACATCTCCAGTTCCCTTCACCTCCACTAATGACCATCTCCCCCTAACCTCTGGGTTAGCAATTTGGGCGTTAAGTGAGGCTGATCACAATGAAAAAGCAGGGGCCCCGATGTTGATCTTACCTGGAGAGAGCCAGAGAAGGCAGAGCCACTGCAATGCTTTTACTGATCTCTTTGTGTTGTGGCTTTGTCAACATGAAATCCATTTCTTTGAGCCCCTATGAAATTTGCAGCGACGGAGGAAGCGCACGTCGGTACTAACGGCCCCGTCTGGTTTTTTCAGCCCCGAGCTTATGCGATAAACCACGCCACAGCCTACAGCGGCAGAGACACTGTGAAAGTGCTGCTTGCGCTGTTGGACGAGGACGCTCTACGTGCCCCGAGCAGGAACAAAGCTCAGCTATTTCTCGGAGATGAGGGAGTCCTGGGTGGAGATGAAGGGGCCTGTGTCCTACAGCTCTTTAGGTATGGTCACTCCTGAAATATGCAGTATGTGAACGTGTCTGGTGCAGCCAAAGGTCTTCAACTACGTTTTCATTATATATGCATGTCTGTTGAATATTGTTATTCTAGCTGTGTGGGGGTAGTGGTTAGGGCTCTGGGCTCATAATTGGGAGGTTGTGGGTTCAAATCCCAGGTGGGGCACAGGTTTTGTGCCCTAGAGCGCAGTACGTCACCCTGGCTGCTCCAGTGAAAAAGCCCAACTGTATCAAGAAATGCAAATGTAGCCCGATTTGGATGAAAGCGTCTGTCAAGCGAATGATATTGTTTCCTGTGTTAGATCTAATTGAATTGCCAAGAATGTGAAATGGTTTTGTCGACAGACCGTTTATGCCGAATTTCCTCCTGTTTTTGTTCAAGGTCCCCCGAACCTTCAACTGGATCATCTCCAAAGCCACTTAGACACCGGGTTCGGGATCGTGGAAATAAAACACAACCACAGGTACCAGTTATTTTGTTTTCTTTTAAAATCAGAATTCAAAATTGTGAGGGTAACTCCCATTGTCAACATGTACACCCCCTTAATGATCTTTTCTCCTAGAAGAATAAACATCTCATATTTCAAGAACTTTTATTTCTTCTTTCACCTATTAATTTTCTTTATAATCTCTGGATATACTTTTGCTGTACTTTCATGTCTTTTAAAGAAGAAAAGACAGGTATGTCAAAACAGTTTTTCATTGAATGGGATTTTTCTGAAGGTGTAAAGTCAGTCCAAGTAGCTGAACTGGCTTGCACATCAGACATCATAGCCAACTTACTGCTAAGTAATGTTTTATTGTCAAGTTGTAAAAGACTTTAAACAAATAAAACCTGGATCTAAAACTGCCACTATTCATTAAAGCTAGGCTGCTTTTTGTTACAAGAAGTAAAAATACTGTTTTCTAGAATTGTCCAAAAATATGCTAAATGCATTTTATAAAATAACTTCTTGATTACAGCTTTATTTGATTGTACTAACAGATGTTAATGTAGCTATCCACTTGCTTGGTATTTTACTGTGAAAACAGCTTCAATGCAATGTAATAGTCCCAGAGCTATTCAAAGTTTCCTGAATTTGTTTGAGTTTAAACTTTCTGGTTCAATTAAACTTTGAAGACATTTGTATCACTCCATTTGCTCAAATAACAGTGGAAACTTAAACTGCTGTTGTTTCCTCTTATCTGCTAAATGATCCCATCAGCCATTTCAGTGGGTTTCTGCATGCATGCTTGACCATACCTTACATTGACCTAAAATTGCATCTCGGAGTAATATACTGCCTTCTCTCTTGGCCTTAGTGTTTGCTTTGTTTGAGGTGCAGTAACTGTAATTCTGCATAGTTACCATCTTAAGAGCTATGTGTTGGGTTACATTGGGATGGTGTAGTCCTTCTGTTGTGCAAAAAGACAGGTTAGTTCGGAGTAACAGCAGGTGTCTTTGTTGCTAACGTTCTTTGAACAGGGATCTTTTTTTATGCCCATCAGTAATCCCCTGAGTTAAATTCAACTGCTAATTGAAAGCATCTGCTTTTCCTGGAATTAGATCATTTGACATCGGGTGAAGTGCTCACAGTAACAGTATATACAATGCTCTTCTATACACAAGATGAAGTGGAATGCACTTTATTGATATTTCTATAATCTGTATTTTGCTGTAATTCATCAGCACTGCACTAATAAAGTAAAATGCATATGCAAAAACTGTACAGATTAGAAGTTTTTTCTTCAAACGAAATTTATTGCACGAGTTCCTGCAATGAACCCCATCGTTCAGACATATTAAATTGCAGCACAAGTTTAGGGATGTTGTTTTAGGTGCTGTTTGTTTTTAGAAATGTTTTTGACAATCTCCTCTCAGGCTTTGATCTCATTGTTTTGAATCCAGTGTGCTCTGTGAAGCATGTTTTGAGTTGTCCATTCCTGCCATGGCTGACAGGTTTAAAGAGAAACCCTAGTATCCGTAATCCAGCCAGGGCTGAGATCAAAAGTAGAATAAAGCACAAAAATCTAAGTGCTTGAGAACTGGGATTCGCAAACGCCCTAAAGATTAGTACATTAAGTTTTTCTTTGGCTAACTTTTCTGCATGGAAGTCTGCAAAGATACTTCTTGATTATTTTACTTTGGCGGGAGCTGAACATTTTGAAGGTGGAAGCATTTCTCTGTACTGATTTTGCACATCCCTGTGTTTTACAGATGCTTGCAGTCGGCTTAATACTGATCTCTCAGCTGTAGCAGCTTCCCAGTGTTTCTGTGTTCTGAAAGCTATTCGGACTCGCTTTCTTAGTCCACCTGCTCCTAACAAAAGGTCTTGTTGCAGTTGCAATGAGACAAGAGTGTGCTTGAGCCTCAAGAGCCTAGAGCCAGGGTGATGTGCCTGCTATATCAATGAAGCAGTAGACAGGTTCAAGCATTCATACATGTTTTGTAGAAAACATGGGCGAACAAGTGTTGACCCTCAAGCGTGACATCCGCAACGATGTTGAAAAGGGATGTTTAAGTCATTTTCTTGACCAGTTTATTTTAAATCAATGAGCTTAATACTCTTAAATTGTGCTCATTTTGTTAAGTGTCCATTGAGAAACGCATCTGGTTCATCTTGATACAGTTTTACACAAAATCCTAATATGGACATGGAAAATCAGGGGTAGCTTCATAAAACTGTGTTTGGTAGATGAGTACTGAAGGGCTGGTGTCGGCAGGTTTCATTTCAGCGTAGTGCTTAACGATTCAATAACAACCAATTACTGGCCCAAGCGAAGCAGTTTTGCAGCTTTCCCAGCCTCTCAAGGAGCTGCCCTTGGAATTGGAATTGCCCATCCCTCACACTACATCACAATGGATCCTGGGGGCTTTGCCCATTAAGCATTTGTATAATGTTATTTGCAGAACAAAGCAGTATCCTGCAAAGTTCCTTTTCCTAGGCTGTTTGAAATGTGTGATATTGCCCATTACATTTAATGGCACGTTTATTAAATAAAGATGCTGCTTGCTTTAGAAGCGTGAACAAGCACGCTCGATGAAGGAAACGTAACCAGAAACCATGCTATTGGCTTCCATGCCTGGCTAGCTTGTCCCACACTCCCACTACCCTTTAAAGAAAGAAGTGCCTCCTGTTCTCACTGGTAAATGCAGTTTCCAAATATATTCCCCTGGTTTGTGACTTTATCAGTGGCCTTCAGGATTTTGAATACTTGCATCAGATCGTAGTCTTTTCTGTTCAAGTATAAATAGATTGGTTTCTTCAGCCTTTTACTAGTGCATTATAAAATTACTGGCATATCCCTTGATTTAAATTAAAGATGCACCTGACGTTTCAGCATAGACACCTAAGTCTGGAGCTTTGCCTATGAGGTTCTGATTTTCAAGCAACTTATTTTTCCAAAGCACTGCTTGTTTGAGTTTAATTTAAAGGCACAGTTGAGTGGTGTGTCTGCGTGTGTGTCTGCGTGTGTGTCTGCGTGTGTGTCTGCGTGTGTGTCTGCGTGT